AAATACGATTAAAGTCATGAGTAAGGGAGATTTTACTTGGTTAGCTTTCCAGGAAAAAAGGTTGTACATAAATACGTTTGCTGTGTGCAAAACATAATTAACAACAATGAACTAGAGGTGCAAGCATTTTTACCTATCGAAGGACATAAGACGACGTTTAAAATCATCGAAAATGATTTAAGTATAGTCACTCAAGCTCAACTTATTTGTAAGTTAGAACAACCCCAAATCATTGGGTCTGGCAACAGAAATAGGTATAAGTTTTCTAAAGAAATTATGAAAGCAATATAGTTATTTCCTTTATGCCTTTATATTTTGATGAAATATATTTACATAAAGCAGTACCTAATTTTTTCTACTAGAGAGTTATTTTTTGTTTCTGGTTAAGGTTTACTTTTTCAGTTTGTATACGTTTTTTGGAATAAATAAATGTAGTAAAATATTTTTTAATGTGTTTTCAAATATTGGTAAAAGTTGTGGTCAACTACGGGGTTATCTATGGTCAAATACTAGACATTTGCAAACATTTTTAAAAACTATTTTTTTTTTTTTGATGACCCAACAAAAGCTTTTTTTGTTTAAATATTTTTTTTTGCTTAAAATACTGCCAAATTTGCTGGTAATTTTTAATTTTAATTAAAACAATTAACAAAAAAATTGTAGATTTTTAATTTCAAAAATTTGCTTAACTTATCAATTATTGGCTCATCCACCCTACGAATGGATCAAGAGGGAGTAAGAGAAGAGGTTCTAGCATACATAGAGGCAAACAAAAAGTACCGCCTCATTAGTGAAACAACCCACTGTATTTTAGGCTGAAATACATGCTCATGAAGCTTGTCTAAGAGTGATCCTAAGAGGGAAGTACAAAAAGTAAAGATTATTCACATTGCAGAATTATGCAGAATTATGAATAAGGATCCCAAATCCCTTGTGGAAGTTGCCTGAAGAAATACCATGATAGAGATTTACATTCCGTATATTACCTAACTTACCAAAAGATAAATGCTTAAACAATAAATCGTTTTAAATTTAAATTAAGTACAACTTATATGAATTAGAATTTGATAACTACCTTATCTAAAGCATGGTTTAAGTATTATTTGTTAGTGATTAGTGATTTTCTATATTTTTATCACTAATCTAGAGTCAAGTGTAGTAAGCTTTAAATAAAGTGGTGACCAACTTCTTTTTCAAAGTTATTCGAGTTATTTAATAACCTAACCCACGCACTATCAATTGAGCTCAAACATATAATAAAAATGGATAGAATAACTAGATGGCACGTTACAACACCCTACTCACTGGCAACAAATAAGAGGACATAGAATAAGTAAACTAATTCAAGATAAAATCGCGCATAACTACTGAGGTACTATAGCTCTCAAAACGTTTAATTATGGAATTACTAACAGAACAGTTTATGGGATGGGATGGGACTACATAATGATCCCATCATATGTTGATCCTGCATAAAAGAAGAAGTAACCTCATAGCATGTAATCTTTGAATGCCAGCTAGGCGGCGACATATCCTTGTTGGCCTATAACCGGAAAGAGGTCTCCAGACACACTGAGTAGGGAACCTAACTAAGGACTCAAGGCTGCTCAGACACATGCCTGAACACAGGTAATGCAGGAAAATAAAACACATCCAAAAAATCTCAATACAATAGAAGAGAGAAATCTGTGATTAAATATGTATGTTTAGAATTTTTAAAATTTAAAATCAATGAAGAGAAGAAAATTATATTCTTGTATTGCATCAGAACATAAAATTATCAAGGAAAATAAGACGCTGGGAATATTCAGGTATGTTAATATTGCTAGTAAATAATAGATAAACAAAACTGTGAAAATTATAGTTTGGATATGACATTTGATTGATTACTGGTTGTAATCGTGAATATAGGTCAGAGCAATTTTAAATTATCCAATAAACTGCATTTAGATAGATGAGAATGAAAATATAAAAAATTTGTTTTAAAAAACCATCAAATTAATTATACATGGGCTTCATATGAAAGGTAGATAGCCCATATATGTTTTTTTTTCTTAAGTACTTATTGAATTAAAAAAAGAAAAAATAAAAACACGTTTTGTTTTATTTCATGTTCTTCATATTTCCAGTAAATATATTTCATAGAGTCCGCATTCAATAGCGGTTGTTTGGGTTCAAAAAGGAGAAATGCTGCGGACATTATACTCGTAATATCGCAACATTTTTACAGGGTTTGCAATTAATATAAATAATAAATTAAATACATACCTTCAAAATACATTTTTTAAATTTGGTACAAATTTTATAGATTTGAATTTAAGTATCTAGTAATAATTAAATATTTAAATCAACTAAAGAAAATCATTGATTTTTACTTTGCTGTATTCAGAAAAAAAATATAAGCATATATAACTTTAGGTACAATGTCATATATTGGACATATCAGATTTTTTAAACAAACATCAGGATGTATAAAGGAAAAGGGAAGGTTAAAATAATGGGCAATGAAAAATATATAAAAAGCTGATGTTTTGATTTTTAAGAACAATCCGTCGCGAAAATACCCGGCAAAGTTCGTCGACGGAAGTCATTCGTGAATTCCGTTCGCAAAATTCGTATGGCTTGGCTTTTAAAAACATTCAGTCGCGAAAATCACCGATGAAGTTCGTCGACAGAATGCTTTCCCGAAGTTTAAACCCATAAACGCCCAGTGTAAGTCATAGATAAATTAATAAAGAATATAGTCGGATTTCGTGTTAATTTTTGGAAACGTATAGTGCTGCAAATTAGTATGGAATGGATTTTTTTTAACTACACTGGCTGATTGACTTGCCAGTTAGAGGCTGAATAAGAAAGAGAGGAATAAAAAAAGAAGAGTTTTTGAGCCAACCGCGGTTCATTTAAATATAATTTATTATTTATTTACATTTTTTTGGCATTCATCACTTTAAAAAAAACTAATATTTACATCAAAATAATGTATTTAACATAAATATTAGTTTTTTTTTTTTCGTAACAAAACCCCAAAAAATATGAACAAAAAATATTTACATTAAAATAAAATATTTGAAACACACATTTTAATTATTTATTATACAAGGTAATGAGCTCAATATTAAATAACAATTGTAAATAAAATGAATGGTAGGTAGTCTCCCCCATTCTCGGAAAAATGGACCATATTTTGTTGGGTGTCCGGCGTTTTCTATAAAAACAAAATAAAAAGTGTACATATTATGCCTTATTGAACAATTTCTCTTATCAAATATTAATAAAATACAACTTTTTCTCTTTAGTACTTAAATTTCTGACTCTACTTTTATTTATTTATTATTTTTCTTCGTTTCGGGGGACGTTCAAATTGTTCATCACTAATTATTATCACCTATAATTTGATCCCACGAATATTGAGATGACCATACAAATTGCATTAGAATTTTTCTCGATGATGATGGGGTTAACTAAACCTAAGGGGTCGTAACATTGTGATAATATAGATATAACAAAACGTTTAGAGATTTTTTTCAGAACTTATATTTGTGGAGCTGATATATGAAATAAATCGTGGTTTGAGTCCCAATGCAAACCTAGGATTTTGTCAGATGTGTTGTCTAAATGTAGATCGATTTTTGAATCAGCTGATTGCGTATTAGTGTTAAGGGTATTTGTATGTATTTTGTGTAAAGTAAAATTATGTTGATTTAGTAAAGTGTGTAATTCAGTTTCGAGTAGTGTTAATTGTGACATGGTATTGGCACCAGTTAATATATTATTTACGTATGTTTGGTTTAGTAATAGACTAGCAGCTAGAGAGAATTGAGGGTTTTTTATAGCAATATCTTTTAGAACCCTACAGGCAAGAAATGGAGACGATTTGTGGCCGAATGCTACACTTGTTAATTCGATTTATTCAAAAGATTGTGAGGGTATTTCACGCCAAAGTAATGTTAATAAAAAGTTTGGTTAGGGTTAATTTTAGAGATGTGTTGCGATTTCACTGTCAGCGGTTTTGTCGCCGCTACTTTCTTGTCGCTGGAGCGAACCGCTCCGGTTCTTTCAAAATCACTGCGACTTTTTGGAGCTGGGTTTGATTTAGGCACGTTTTCATTCAGGCACTATTGCTAAAAATAAATGTCGCATGTCATATTTATCTTATTATATTATATGCTTCTAATCGCAGTCGTTGAAATTTGTATAAAAAAAATAGGACATCTACAATTGGGAGGCGCAAAAAACGACTTTTTTTTTGAGTCTCGTGCGAAAATATGGTAATTTATCATGTTTTAAGACCCCCTCCAGAAGAAAGCTGTAAAGAAAACTCGTCTTTTACAAATTTAGATTTCAAAATGGACTGTATGACATTTTATTGACATTAAAAAGAAACTTACATAACAACTGTTATAAAAACAAAACAGAACTTTTCCATTAACATTATACGTTAAAGGGTAAAGCGTACATCACAGTATTTTTTAAGTAACAATGGCCGACTTGAGGTTCGGTCTTGTGCGCACTCTGGTATGAACATTCTCAACGACACAGGCATGAAACTACATCTCTTTGACGGGCGCCACAGATACTAATAGCTATTTTTATGAATTAACGAAAATATCAACATTCTGCCCCGGGTTGAAGGCTTGCCTTCAAATATTTAACAAACGAAATGAGACAATGGGAAATACATAGAAACTAAAATTTCGTATACTGTAATAATAAAAATATAATTCTAAGAATTTTTGTAACTTATAGGAAGGGGGCAAAGTTTTACAATTGGACGTGTATATATTCCATCTACAGTTTTTAGTTTAACCACTCGGACCTTTTTATCGGAACCGGGCAATACCTCTAAAATACGGGCTAAATGCCATTTTAGTGGTGGTAAATTATCCTCTTTTACTAAAACTAGCATATCCTTTTCTAAATTTGGGAAAGTGCTGTGCCACTTTGGCTTATTTTGAAGAAGATTTAAATATTCATTAGAATATCTTTTCCAAAAATGTTGTTTCATTTTAGTGCAGAGTTGCCAAAACTTTAATCGATTGTCAGGAACATTCATGACATTAATTTCAGGGATTGAAGTTATTGGGTCTCCTATTAAGAAATGCCCTGGAGTTAAACATGTGAAATCATTTGGGTCACTAGAAAGTGGGCTGAGAGGACGTGAGTTTAAAATTCCTTCTATTTCGATCAAAACAGTGAGAAATTGTTCAAATGTAAGCGTATGGTTACCCACGACTCGTCTTAAATGAAACTTTGTCGCTTTAATGCCAGCTTCCCACAATCCTCCCCAATGTGGGCTATTTGCTGGAATAAATTTCCATTGAACAAATTGATTACCAAGAAAATTTTGAATTGGGTCTAGGTTGTGATTAATTTTAAAAAAATTCTTAATTTCTTTTAGGGTATTGTGTGCTCCTGTAAAATTAGTAGCATTATCACTGAAGATAGTAATAGGTTTGCCTCGACGGCTCATAAATCTTTTTAGAGAAGATATGAATGATTCTGAAGTTAAATCTAAGACTAGCTCTAAATGAACTGATTTTGTACTCATGCAGACAAATAATGCAATATAACTTTTGTGTATAACACTGTGTCTCAGGCGTGATTCTTTTATTGAAAATGGACCTCCAAAGTCCACCCCTACATTTAAAAAGGGTCTAACTGTTGCAACTCGTTCAGGGGGCAAGTTGCCCATGACTTGAGCGGAGGTTTTTGCTCGAAACCTAAAACATATTATGCATAAATGAATCAATTTTTTTATTCGGGTTAATGCATTGATTGGCCAATAGTGTAATCTAAGGCTAGCGAGTACAGCTCTTGGGCCTGCGTGACAAAGTGCCACATGTTCATGGGTGATCAGTAAGTCCACAAAAGGATGTTTTTGAGGAAGTAACAGAGGGTGTTTTTGAGAAAACGGTATCTGAGCATTTTCTAATCGCCCACCTACACGTAAAAATCCATCTTCATCTAAAAAAGGGGACAGGGGTAAAAGGGAACTATTTTTCAACGGTTTATTATTTTTAAGAGAGTCAATTTCTAATGTGAAAGACTGATTTTGCACAATTTTCACTAAAGTAACATTTGCATTTCTTATTTCTGTGGCAGTTACATTTCCAGTGACCTTTACTTTATTTCGGCAATTATATATGGACCGCATTACATAAGCAAGTGTATATCTTAACTTTGTGAGAGAAGAAAATGCGACAAAGAGTTGCTGCCAATAATCAGTTGTAGTAATGTGAAGTGTTTTAGCTGATTTTCTTTGTTCAGGGGGTTCCACTAAATTCATATCACTTTCAAATTCATCAAATTTTAAATTGGGGTTCAGTAAAAATTGGGGACCGTGCCACCATAAATCTGATTCAGTTATATCTATCGAGGTCATTCCTCGAGATAGAAAATCAGCAGGGTTTTGTTTTGATCTAATGTGTCGCCATTTGTGAGTTGAAGTTAAACTTTGTATTTCTGCGACTCTATTCCCTACAAAAATGGACCAACGTGATGGTTGAGACTTTAACCAACACAGAGCTATTTGCGATTCTGTCCAGAGATTGACATTTGATATGAATAAATGACCGTCATAAATTGAAATTAATTTAGAAACTAGTTTAGTGAGAAGTACCATGGCACAGAGTTCTAATCTAGGGAGTGTAACAGTTTTAAGTGGGGCTATTCGTGATTTTGACGTTAGTAAGTGACAAGAAACAGTTTTGTCTGAGTATATTATGCGAATATAAATGCAGCATCCATATGCTACCATAGAAGCATCACTGAACCCTTCTAATGAAATGGTTTCAATGTCTTTTTTCAAAAATAGATACCTAGGAATTTTTAAGTTCTTAAGTAAAGGAATATTTTCTATAAAACTTTTCCATTCATTTATTATGTCTTTATCTATTACTTCAGCATCCCAATCTAACTTAAGCAACCATAGACGTTGAATAAGCAGTTTTCCTTTGACTATTACTGGGTTTATCAAACCGATGGGATCATAGCATTGAGCAATGGCTGATAAAATAATTCTTTTAGTTACAGGACCTTGACAAAAAGAATTAGGGTGAGAAATACAAAAAAAGTCTAATATAGGATTCCATATGAGTCCTAAAACCTTATTATGGGAGTCATTTAAATTTATGTCATATTCAGATGTTCTTTCTTGAACAATTTTTTTAAGAAACATGTCTGAATTTGAGCACCATTTGTGGAGGTGTAACCCAAATGGGTTCAGGAGGGTACTGAGTTCATTATACAAGCATTCTAATTCTTCTATGCTGTTGGCACCACCAAGGATATCATCTACATAAGTTTGATATAAAATTGTGTGAGCTGCTAGGGGGAAATTGGATTGATTTTGTTTTGCAATTTCAGATAGTACTCGTGTAGCGACAAATGGCGCGAAATTCATGCCATATGTAACAGTCAACAATTCTATACATTTTATTGTTTCGTGGGGATCGTCTCGCCATAATATATTTTGAAGGAAAGTATGTTCGGGGTTTACGCGGATTTGACGGTACATTTTTTTTATATCAGAGGTGAGAACAAATGGGTACAACCTAAATCTACAAATGATGTCGAACAAATCTGGCTGCACCTGATAACCTTTCAAGGTTATATCATTCAGTGACAGTCCAGAAGTTGTTTTACAACTTGCGTCGAAAACTACCCGTAGTTTTGTACTGACACTTTCTTCTCTAATTACACATAAGTGAGGTATGAAATATTTGAGTTCTGAGCTTGGCGTTAACAAATTTAAGGGAACAAATCTGGCATGACCAAGATTTATATATTCATGCACAAATTTGCTGTAATCTTCTTTTAGCTTAGTGTTATTGCTAAGTCTCTTTTCTAGTGCAAAAAATCGTTTTTGTGCTATACCAAAAGAATCGCCAAGTTTTTCATACTCTGTGGGAGATTTAAGCGGAATGTCTATTTGATATGTACCATCAGCTAATACCTTTGAAGTAGAAGTAAATATTTTTTCTGCCAAAATATCATCTGAATCTAAGGCTTTTGGGGCGAGAGTAGGGACTTCCTCTAGCTTCCAAAATTTTTCTAGAGTGTCTTCCAACTTTGAAGTCTGAAGGAGAAAACATATCTCGGATGATTGTGAATGTTTTAAACCATTGTCACAATTACTTACATATTCTTTAATGTTATTTACAATGCATGATATGGACTGAGAGGTTATGGGGCCACCTAATATGAATCCTAATTGAGTATCTAATAAAACTAAAGATGTGTCTTGTAATTTTATTATCTGATCTTTGATTATATGATAATATACGTCTGCTCCTAGTAGTAAGTCAATATCTGATGGTTTATGAAATTCTGGGTCAGCTAAATATATATATGGAGGAAATTTTATTTTTTGTCGATTTAGGGGGAATTGGGGCAATTTCCCAGTTATTTTTTGTAACACAGCACATGTAACATTGAATTTACAGTCGTTATAATTTGAGTGTATAGTCAGAATTGTTTCCCTGTTACTATGAGTAACTACCTCATTTACTCCACTAATAGATATTTTACGCAAGTGAGAAGGGCACTTGAGTTTCTTGACACAAGCTTCTGTTACTAGAGATGTGGTACTACAATTGTCCAACACTGCTTTTACCTTTAAAGGGTTACCTTCTGCTGTGTAAATTGTTACTATGGCAGTAGCTAAAAAGGGTGCCTTCACTTGAAGATGTGGTTGACAACACTGTATTACGTGCACTGTTTGGGGTATTCGAGTGAGAAATTATTTCAGTGTTAGAGCTTTGAATTTGGGTACTGTTATTTTGTTTATGAGAGGGTGTATGATTAGTGTTATTAGGGTTAGAGCTACTAGGGTAAGAGTTACTGGTGTTAGAGTTTCGAATATCTTGATTTGTTGTGGAAGTGTTCTGATAATTAGGGTTAGAGCGAGAAACATAATTCTGATCTATATGAATAAGAGAGTGGTGTTTTCTGTTGCAAATGGAGCAACCTCTAGAAGTGCACTGTTGAAGTATATGCTTGCTACCTAAGCAGTTATAGCACAGCTTGTTGATTTTAATAAACTCAATCTTTTGTGTGTGTGGAAGAGAAATGAATTTTGAACAGGCATAAATTTTATGACCAGTTAAATTACAGAAAACGCATTTTTTATAATTATTTTGTGTGGAAGTGGAAGAAGTTTCATGTGATTGAGAGAAATGTACTTGGGAATATTTCGGTTGGCCTCTTATGGGCTTCGATGAATGACTATCTAACTCAGGTATATTTCTTCGTTCTAATTTAGTGCACCTTTTTTCCAAAAAACCTAAAAATTCCTTAAGCATAGGTACCGTTTCAGGGTCAGTTTCTGCTTCATATGCTCGTTTTGTACTGGGGTCTAATTTTTCCGACAACAAAAAGATTAAGATTAAATCCCAGCTTTCTACGGGTACATCTAAGTGACTTAAAGAGTCAAAATCTTGTCTAATTTGTGTAATGAATTCTCTTAATGTGGTGGCATTTTCTTTAGTAAGGGTGGGGATTTTCAACATACTTTTAATGTGAGCAAAAATGATTGATACTTGATTGTCATATCTTCTCTTTAAAGTATCTAGAGCTACGTCTAAGTTTTCTGATTTTAAAGGCAAATTATTGATTAGATTTAAAGGTTCGTCCTTTAAATAACTTTTTAAGTAAACTAGTTTCTCAATTTGTGACAAATTTGTGTTATTACCTATAAGAGTTGTAAAAAGTTCAATAAATGATTTCCACTCAACAAAATCACCTGAAAATCGATTAATTTTAAGATCGGGTAATTTGACATTAGTTCTCATTTGTGTAACTGAGTTGCTTCTATTGTGTTCAGGAGAAAATGTTCCTACAGAGTGAGCTTCCAACTTAACTTTAAACTTAGCTAAAAGTGAGTAATATTTATTTTCTACATTTGACCTATCAGTGTCATTCTCATCTAATTCTTCAATTTCAAATTGTATGTTATCATAATCACTAAATGCGTTAGTCAATCCTACTTTTCTTACTTCAAATTCCTCTAGCTGCTGTAAGTCATAGTTATTATTAATCCAAGTTTCGATTCTAGTGATTGCTTTTTTTGCTTTGGTTCTTTTTTTGACTAACTCATTTAATGACATTGTTGTAACTTAAGTAAAAACTGATTACAGTAACACAGTATTTTAAATATAAATCAAACCTAACTAGAGTTTATTATTCGCTTTGGAGCAAACAAGCGAGTTTATCAGCAATGAAACAAAATATAGATATAAAAGATCTGACCTTTGTTTTGGGACACTTTCACTTCACTTTTTGTTCTGCTAGACTGCAGTGCTGAGGTGACTACTAAACATCTGAGTTGGGATCTGAGTTGAGGTTGGGGCTATAAGTGACTTCTTTTCACTCACTGGGGCTAAATTCTCTGCGTTAAACTTCCTTATTTCTTGAATAGGTGCTAGGATTTTTCTTTTTTATGCTAAAGATGTCTTCTATTAACTGTGTGTGTCTTCTGGTGCGTCTGTCTCTTTTAGAGCTTGTTTCTAGGGGTACC